TTTTTTTTTTGGGACAAATGCCCCAGTCTATTCGTGGGGAGCAGCACGTGCTGGGAACCGCGCCGAGCGTCCCATATAGAGTTGCACAAGTCATTTGAGATACCGGGGCCATTACCCGGCTTCGGCTGAGAATCAATCTGAGCGAGCTTGTTCAGCAGAGTACAGGAAGGTATGGAGGAAGAAGAGTACAGAAAGGAATAGAGGGAGAAGAGTACAGAAAGGAATGGAGGGAAAAGAACGATTGAATTTAATTGGATGGCATGGAATTGAAATAACGAGGGTAATCGATACGCATCCATGCATATGAACAACAGAATCATCAAAACAGCTGCGGCGCGAACGCGGAGAGGCGGAGAGGCGGAGAGATGAGAAGAGCGGAGACAGGTGTGAACAAGGAAAAGGAGAAGGAGAGGAGGTACAATGGGAAGAACTCACATACACCCCAGTCTTCCATACAGCTACAGAGTCCCTTCATCCAATGCCCTTGTGTGTTCTGAGCAGCTGCGACGATGGGTAGCTGCATTGTGGGCGGTTGAACCAGATGAATCGGTCGGTTAATATATATCGGCGCCTGCTGGGGTGCATACTGCGGCGGAGGCTGCGCAATTGGGCGGATCGCCGGGAAGCCATGGTCTGACAACATTTGCTTATAGCCAGACAAGAGAGGAGACAAAAAAGAAAGAAAGAAAAAAAAGAAAGAAAAAAAAGAAAGAAAGAAAGAAAGAAAGAAAGAAAGAAAGAAAGAAAGAAGGAGAGAAAGAAGAACGCGCTGCGAGCGGAACTGCAACCGCCGCAAATCCCCGGTCCGCGGCGTCCACCAGCGCACGCGCGCGCGGCGTGCCTAATGGGAAAACGGGAAAGCCCAAAACCCAATGCGCGCAACAAACCACCGGGCGCCGGAACGGCGCCCGAAGGTCGCGGAACACCAGCGGAGGAAGAAGGAGGCGGCGGGACAGGAAGGGGAGAGGGAGATGTAGAGAAAAGAAAGGATAGAAAGCAGCAAGAAGACTGATTGATCGATCGATCGCTCTCAACACCTGTTACCTAAGAGTACCCAAGTTCCTCCTGCTTAATTAGCGACACGTCGGATAAGTTGATGAGAGTAGTTGAGTTGGTTGATGAGTAGATGATGGGTCGATTGCTTGAGGAGATGAGGAGGTGAGGGTGTGATGACGGCGCGCAGATCGAGTCCCCCCCGTTACGACACAGAAAGCCGACAAAGGACCGCTGCTAGAGATAGTCAAATAGGCACCGATGCGCTGAGAACCCCGGCTTTCCGCGAGTGCGCCCGCTCGCGCTGGCCGAGCGCCACACTTCGGAACACCTGACACAGTGAAACTCAACCCCGCTCCGCGCAGACAACTCCGTAGAAAACACAAGGACCGAACTTGCACCGCGGGAGGGCGGACTGTTAGATCGCTACATTGGGCGGGGCTGAACGTCGGGGGCGCAAATCGTGGGAAAAAAAGAGAGAGGAGATGACAGAAGTGCGGCACGCCACATGGCCGAAGAAAGCGGGGCCACAAATTGGTAAATGTGGAGGGACGAAATCTCAGATCACTAGATCCCGCGCTGAACGAAAGCGTGGGAAATGGCGGCGGGGGGAGAGAGAGAGAGAGAGAGAGAGAGAGAGAGAAGGGGGGGTAACGGAAGAGAGCTCCCGGTTGGACTTTTAGATCATGTGTATAACGGAGAATAAAGTGACCCCGAGAGAGAGAGAGAGAGAGAGAGAGAG